AAAAAAAACCCCAGACAAAACATGCCACGAAATTGCAGGCCAAACATCCCCACCCCATTACATGTTGCCTTTCAACACCTTAGGATGCCTCTGCTGTTAGCTAAATGGTTGCACCATTCCCAGCTTATTACTACTTTTCCCCTTCCTTTTGCTGGACATGCTTCAGAATGGAGGACTTATTTTCTAAGACTCCTTCTGGGACTAGAAGCATTTTTGGAAATAAAAAAAAAATTCATTAGAAATTGACTCTGTTATGCAGCAACTCTCAGTCTCTTGGGGGTTTTTTAATGAAAAAAAAATCTGGAAGTGCAAAAAGCCCATCAGAAGCCAAAGATGGTATTATAGATAGAGGGCCATAACCCATTGTGGACTTTTTAGTTTGCTTGAAGGAAGAGCATTTGATTTCTGAATTGAAAATTAAAATAAAACTGTAGTCCTAAGCATTCCTATGTGAAGGTGTACTCCATGAAATATATTTAAAATTAAAGTATTAGTGTGAAATGTACTACTAGATGTGGTGATGATTATTCAGCTATTCATGAACTATATATCACTCTCCCTGACTCTGCAGTATAAAGCTACAAAGGTAAATTCACAGCCATATCACATGTTTTATGTGAGAGAAAACAGATGTGGAGTTGAAGCTAGAAGAGAACCGTTTGAGTAGGTGGAGTCGTTCTATAATCTGTGAGATTTGGAGCATTTTAAAAAATTAAAATTAGTTTTTACTTATGAGGTCTTGCAGGTGCCATCTACGAGGGACATATGTACCCAGGACCCATAGTCCTTGTCACCAATTCCTGACTTCCTTTGTGATCCACAAAAGTTTTACATGATGTAAAAGTTCTAAACCTCTGACTCAGAAGGAGGTTTCTAAGCCTAACTCCCATTTGAGTTTGTTGTCTCTTCTTACTCTCATACCTCCACCCAAGACACATTCATGGGGAACCCAGGGTAATATTCATACAGAACCTGACCTTGCTATGGCTATGCCATCCCTTTACAGTTTGAGGCTCACCTACTTCCTGTTCTGCAAGTTTTAAGACGTAAAATGAAGTCTTAGCATTTGGTTGATTTTCAGATAAGTTCTGATATTTCAGTTTCGTAATATTGATCTTGATTTTAAATGGATATTGTTATTTTAAACATGTTTTTAATTATTTTTTATCAGCCACTGAGTGCCTGTTAGTAGCAAAACAGGATAAAAATATTTGACATAAATGAATATTGCTAGAATATTTTACATATATGAATATTGCTAGAAAAACTTTACTGTAAATTCAATCACTAAATAATTAGACTTCATCTTAATGGGAATTAAACATCTGCAATTGAAAGATTTCTTCATAAAAAGACTTTTTAAAAAAGAACATCCATGTTTTTCCCATACAACCTTTAGAGAGAGTTGCGAGATAATTTCTAAATATGTAAACTACTTTGCTCTCCTTGCTACATTCTCCAAATGGGAATGTTTCAAAAGGAAGTGGAAACTATTCTAACCATTGACTGTGTGGGGAAGTGTCCTCTCACCGCAGGTTTCTGGGCACAAAGAACTTACAGAATAGATTAACTACTGATTCAAATACAACTCCTGCATCAGTTCTTTGCAATTATATTTTGAGAAGTCAGATCCATGACAAGAAGTCTAATAGATTCTCTGATTTATTGAGGGCCATGCATGTGGGTGCTTTCCTTCCTGAATTTATCTACTGCTGATCTGAGAACTGTATTTGAACAAACTGGCAGGTGTGCAGTTACCAGTTTGTACTTCCTTGTAGTGCTAAACAGGTGGACGGGCATCCAATCTACCAAATAAATCAGTTAGGGCAAGGAGGAATAGATAGAGTCATAGCCTGAATCCAGCCTCCATGTTCTGCCCCTTTAAAGTTCTTTGTGGACTGTGTTGCATTATACATCACATTGGTGTTCTGTTTAGAGCTTCAGATTCTGATTCCCTTCAGTTCTAATGGTATAATTTCCATCCTGTAGGGCACAGTAAAGCTGTTAGAGATATATGCTTTAACAATGCTGGGAACCAATTCCTCAGTGCTGCATATGACCGGTATCTCAAACTGTGGGACACTGAAACAGGTATTTGTATACATGTATAAGGTTACTTGTGTAATGTGCATTTTTTAAAGGATAAAGTTCAAGTAGGACACAACATTAATACAACATTAATGATGCAACTGTACTTTAGGGTACATTAAAGGATGGTTCCATAACATAAAAGCATGTCAGTCATATGTGCATATGCTGAGATGCAAAAGGCAGAGGTACAGCTCAGTGAAAAAGCAGATACTCTGTTTTCTGAGTACCTTGTTCAGTCATTAGAGTTCAAGAAAGTCTAAAAAAGATCCCTGCATAAACCCTGCAGAGTCCACTGCTAACTAGATGAACCAATAGTTTGTCTAAGTATATAAGGCTACTTCCTGGGTATTCCAGTTTGTTACTCACCTAACATGGGTGGTGATCAGAATAAAACAGATGCAAAACTTAAAATATAGTGCTTTCAACCATGATTGATTGATTGATTGATTGATTGATTGATTGATTGATTGATTGATTGGTAGATTGACTGACTGACTGACTGACTGACTGACTGACTGACTGACTGACTGGCGTGCTC